GGCTAACTGCTCCCTCATGAAACATGGTAAACAAATGTGTTTTAGGATGGTCTGTTTTATCCGTCTGATTCGTTCTTAATTTTTCAAAATTTCTTTCCTTATTGAAACTGATGCTCCTCGTCATCACAGCCAAAACAATATACTGGTTTACTTACTTTAATCATCATCTTATACAATGACATTTGCAGTAATGCATCCAGACTTTTTAAACAAATTATATTTTAAAAGGTAAAAATGAAAAACTAATAATACTCATAGTATTATTAAAAGTATTTTGGTATACCCCACGAATGTGTAACCAGAGAAATAAAGGAGTAGGAGTGCTAACTTAAAGCTGCAACCATAGTTTTACCATTTCATCGCTCATATTCAGATACAGGACTGTTGGAGCAAATAAGGAGATTTGATTACACTCACCTTAGGCTTCTCGTGGGGATTTGGGATGATTTTGAGGCTGGCAACATTCCCTTTGTCATCACCCACGATAATCATGGGATGGATGGGATTAAACTCAATGCGTGTCGGCTTGGTCTCCTTTTCCATCACTTGCTGCTGGTGGATGGCCTCTTCTGTGCTGATACTAAGGTCAAAAACGTGAACCTAAGGAAGATGAGCAATTATAACAGTCATCATATTTTCCCTCCTTAATTTGGACTCAAACACATTTATTCATTTCAAAGAGCAAAGAACAATGTGTAAAAAAAAAAACCTTAAACACAAATAATAATAATAATAAATCCAATTTGTACCGCACTTTTCATTAAGAAAAATCTCAAAGAATGTGTTGAACCTTTACTTACAAATCAAATTAATATGTGTTTTGCAAATGTGTTGCTTTGTCTCATTTTGTCAATACAACAAGAATAATGGCCAGACTGCCCTGCAACAAGAAGAAAATCCAAATACAGGGGTTGCTAAAGTAGTTTTTCTCCTGGGATTAGCATCTATCTAGCTGCCTTCATCTTTATATCAGCTCTTGACCAACTTAGCTGTCTCTGTGTGGGATATATATCACATTATACTTGACATGTTTTAACTGTTATGAATTTTAAATTCAAACTAAAGTATATAACCATCTTCATATAAAACGTGTCGTTTTTTGTAGTAGTAATCATATTTGACACATGCTACATAATAACGTTTATGTAGCAATGTGATAGTAGACTATAAGCAGTCCGTGAGCTCTGAACCAGAACCTGGAAGTCACAGACCAGTGCAGCTGCATGTTCTTGCACGCTCACATCCTTCGATGGGTCAGGAATAAGGTAAAAGGACTTTTGCCTTGCATAAGTTATTTTGTAACTGTATTGCT